ACCAAATCAGCATATTAGAATGATTTCAGAAGGATCATGTGACAGGAGTAAAGATGCTGAAAATTCAGTTTTTCATCACAAGAATAAGTTACATTTTAAAATATATTAAAATAAAATGTTGCTTAAAAAAACATTGCAAGTGATATACAACTTAAGCTCCATTACCACATTACTCAAATCAGAACTTATCTATAGTGCTGTCAAACGATTAATCGCAATTAATCGCATCCAACATAAACGTAACTGTTTGCGTAATATATGTGTGTTGTGTGTATTTATTATGTATATATAAATACACACACATACAGTATATATTTTGAAAATGTATTTGCATGTCTATATTTATATTCATATAATTTATATTATAAATAAATATATTTAATATATAAAAATGACAGATTTTTCTGAAATATATACATGCATGTGTGTGTATTTATATATACATAATAAATATACACAGTACACATACATAATGTAAACAAAAACGTTTATTTGAGATGCGATTAATCGCGATTAATCGTTTGACAGCACTGCATATCTAGCATGCAAGCAGGACTCTGAATATTCCTTTAAAATAACAAGTCAACCATGTACTCATTTTGTTTTCTATAATTTCCCCAGGTCCTTGTGTACCACAAAACGTGTCGGCCAGTGTAAGCTGCAGCAGCAACATAGCAACAGTAACCTGGGGGAGCAGCCAAGGGGCGGAGCTTTACACAGTGACAGCCAGCAGTGCTAATGTCCTTTCAGCTAACTGCACCTCACCATCCACTTCCTGTGACCTGTCAACTTTGACCTGCGGAGAGTCTTACACGATCACAGTGAAGGCAAAAGGCAGCAACTGCAGCAGTGGGAACAGTGCGCCTGTTCAAGTTCAAGCAGGTTTGTTTCATATTTCATATCTTGATTCGTTTTAAAGCTGAAGAATGTATTTTTTTGTTCAAAAGTTTAGTTGATCAAATTCAATAAAATGTAATAATAAAAAGCATAAACTGCAAAAGAAATGCACTGAATTCATTAACACTTAAGTTTTACCTTGCTTCTTGTGTTCTAGTGCCCTGCACCCCAAGTAATGTCCTGCCCACCGAGGATTGTGTCACAAAAGCTTTAGTTGTATCATGGACACCTAGTGCAGGAGGACAGTACTACATGGCCACCTTGCAGGACAGCAATGGACTGTCCACCACCTGCCAGTCTACAGGCTCACAGTGTAACGTGACAGGTCTCAGCTGTGGTCAGCTGTACCACGTCAATGTGACAGCGTCAGACAGTCTGTGCAGCAGCCCTCCCAGTGCTACTGTGAACACTAACTCAGGTACATAGAAACACGTACAAGCATATACTTGTCTATATACTCTATATTTTCACTCCATAGACATTACTCCCATAGACACTCACTCCTAAATTAATCGCTATGTTTGGACCCGCTTACTGCACATATATACACTGTAAACTGCTTTCTATTAAAAAAAAAAAAGATGTAAAATAGATTCTCAGAGTCTCTCCTGCATTTACCCATAGTTCCCTGCGCAGCCAGCTCCATCATGGCAGTGTTGGATTGTCAGCTGGGTACAGCCACTGTGTCATGGCAGTACAGTGCAGGTGCTCAGGGATACGCTGTCTCTGCCTTGGCACCGGTAGACAACAGGGCTAGCTGCACATCCAACAGCTCCATCACGCACTGTGAGCTGAGTGACCTGCAGTGTGGCAATGAGTATACGGTGAACGTACAGAGTTTGGGATACACGTGCAATGCCAGTGCTCAGATGACTGGCTCCCTGATCACAGGTGAGGTTTATGGAATCTGATTTGCTTGCGATTTAAGTTTTCAGCTGAGACTGTTAAATTATGTACATTACCAGGCAAAAGTTTTTGAACAGTAAGATTTTTAAAGAATTCTCTTCTGCTCACCATGCCTGCATTTAATTTATCTAAAGTACAGCAAAAACATTAATATTGTGAAACAGTTTTACTATTTAAAATAACGTGTTTTCTTTTTGAATATATATTAAACATGTAATTTATTCCTGTGATTTCAAAGCTGAATTTTTAGCACCATTACTCCAGTACCACGATCCTTCAGAAATCATTCAACTATTCTGATTTGCTGCTCAAAAAAACATTAATTATTATTATGTTGAAAACAGCTGAGTAGAATTTTTTGATGAACAGCAAGTTCAGAAGAACAGCATTTATTTGAAATAAAAATCTTTTGTAACATTGTAAGTGTCTTTATCATCACTTTTTTTATAAATTTAAAGCATCCATGCTGAATAGAAGTATTAATTTTCTATAATTACCCCCCCTCCACATATATATATAATATTCCAAACTTTTGACTGGTATTATGTTTTTAAAATATACTATTACTATTATAATATACTTTAAAATATAAGTTATTAAATATACTTCTGTATTTTTCAGCACCATGTCTGTCCACCAGTGTGTCTGCCATGGTGGACTGCCCCACAGATTCAGTTCTAGTGTCTTGGAGTGCCATTGCTGGGGCGGAGAATAACTCCGTGACCGCTTTGGGGTCAAAAGGTCAAACAGTCTTCTGCTCAACCAGTCAGAACCACTGTAACATCTCCTCCCTGCAGTGTGGACAGCAATTTAACCTCACCTTCAGCTCTATGAACCAGCAGTGCCAAACGACCTCCACCACCAATGTCACATTCCTGTCCAGTGAGTTTGCAAAGCATAATGTGTAGCAAGTGTAAAAAGATGAAGTACACTAATTAGGGTCCAACTTTTCTGTGACCACCCTGCAGGACCCTGCGTACCACTGCAGCCAGTCGTCGATAAACTGTGCGGTAACAAAATGTATGTGATGTCTTGGGATGTGAGAGAAGAAGTTGATTACTACGTCGCCCGAGCCGTCAGTGCAGCAGGAGAATATCAGCTCTGTAACTCCACCAGCTCTGTTTGTTCCTTCCCTACTCTGGGCTGTGGAGAGACCTTCACATTCACTGTCACCGCCCACAGAGGCCACTGCCAAAGCGACGCCAGCGCACCTGTATACCTCTCTACAGGTACAGCATTATGCAGTGTAAAAAAATCCTCAGATATCTCATCTTGGGTCTTTAATCAGAAAATTATAATTATTGTTATTATTATTATTAATGATGATGACAATAATAATTACTATTAATACTACTAATAATGATAATAAAAATGTATTTTAATAATTTATTTCACATGTATTTTATTACTATTAATAATAATAATAAAATACATTTGCATATTTATTTAATTTGCTAATATTTTATTTTTTACAATTAATTTTTATTTAACTATTATTATTATTACTAATATATTATATAAATAACAATTTATTATTACATAAGATAATAATAATGGTTGTATATATTTTTATTGTTCATATTTTTCATTTTTATAATTATTATTTTATTTATTTAATTAGTGCTATTAATAATAATAGTATAAAGTATTACCGATATTAATATTATTACAGATATAATAATAATATGAAGAAGTTGATATATTTATTTTTATTAGTTAGTTATAGTTTTAGTATTTTGTTAATATTTATAGACACACCCCTTCTCAGTCTCTGTGCCTTATTATCCAGTATCTATTATTATTATTATTATAAATAATAATACATTTGTATATTTATTTTTTATTGTTAATACTTTTTATTTTGATAATTAATATTTTATTTAAATATTGTTATCATTAAACATATAATATATATAATAACCGCATGTTTGTATATTTATTTTTATTGTTACTACTAATATTTTATTTATTTAAATGATTACAAAATAACTTTATACAATGCTACAAAATAACAATCCCCCTGAACTTCTCCAGATCCTTGCAAGCCAGAGAACGTGACTGCTCACGTGTCATGTGACAGCGAGACGGTGGCGCTCGACTGGTCAGAAGCCAAAGGAGCATCATTCTACATTGTGATGGCAGCAGGGAGTCTGGGATATTTTGTCAACTTTAACACTACTTCTACTAACCTGTCTGTGTCACTGCTCTGTGGACAAAGCTACAACGTGTCTGTCCAAGCGCACGGCGATACCTGCGACAGCCTACCGAGCATTCCTGCGGTTTTCAGACTCGGTATGTCCCTGAAATTACACATAAACCTGCTGTGCACTAAACAAAAATCCACATCCTTAAACACTCAAAGGCAGTATGCAATTTCCTGTTGTTATATAAAAGAAAATTAATTGCAAATAATTCTGTTATTTGAGTGAGAATGGTAGGAAATGAGTTAACCTACCTTTGTAATGTGTGTTGTGATCCAGCGCCCTGCACGCCCCTTAATCTCGTGACATATTTCGAGTGTGACAATCAGTTGGGTTCTGTCAGCTGGGGCCCAAGCGAGGGGGCGAACATGTACACTGCCACAGCAGTGGGTGAGGATGGACACACACACCTGTGTGTTACTAATGGGACCAGCTGCACCTGGGAGGACCTGCACTGCGGTGAAATCTATAACGTTACAGTCACTGCCAATGACAGCCGCTGCACGAGCGCACGCAGCAACAGCACCACCATACACATGGGTAAGACCTACCTATCTATCTATCTATCTATCTATCTATCTATCTATCTATCTATCTATCTATCTATACCTATCTATATCTATATATATATATATATATATATATACAGTATATAGATAGATAGACAGATATATAGATATATAAAATGTGTGATAAATCAACTAATTTAAACCACACAAACTACGCATTTTCAAATAATATATTTTTTCAATAAATACATTTTTCATAATGAGAAAAATATGCAACTTCTAATGATTATAAATTAGAAAATTTTTATTAAACACATTTTCTCAAGTTCAATACAACCAGTGCCTTGTGATTGGCCGAATGCCTCAAGCGTGTGAAATGTTACGCCCCTTAACATACTGTGATGCCGTCTCCCAGAAGGACGAGACTCAGTCCAGCTGCTCTGCTCGTGCACATCCCATCATCGGTTCTCTTTTAGCAGTTCAGTCAATGTACTGTTAGGAGTTACTGAATAACTCGGGATATTGGTTTATTTCGCGTCAAAGGGAGTGTCAGGCACGTTTATAAACCGAATAACTTAAGTAATTTGTGGATTAATGTGTACTGGAGACGCGAACCGTTTCAAACGATTCAGTTCGATTTGGTGAACTGGTTCGACCGGTTCACTAAGAAGATCCGGTTAAATAGAACGATTCAGGAAACCTCCATAAAATGCGTTGCACACACTGAATATTTGGGTTGAACTGTTCTGGAACAGTATTGTAAATACAACTTAACCACTGATTTCTAGTCGTGTCCTCTTTTGGAAGGCCAAACAAAGTAGTTTCGCTTTCACAACGAAACACACAGCAACGCCACAACATGGCAGTGGCGGCAACAGAGAGAATAAAAGTTATGCCTTCTTTCTTTGCGTGAACATTTAGGCGGCGTTATGCAAATCTTCCCACATCGTGACGTAGACATGTGGGGGCGTGTTAGAACGAGCCGCTTTAGGTAGGCGTGGTTGACTCTTAACTTTTATAAAGAATATCTCTTTGGATTTGAGACTTTAGTCTTTGCAACTTTACAGATCTTCTTTATGCACCAAGAGCTTGTAACACTCCAAAGAGAAAGGGAAAATTTAAATCACATCATATGACCCCTTTAATATGCAAACAAACCTCAGGGGAGTTTTTAAATCTGTGCTATGTTTTCTGCCTCTTTAGCCCCATGTGTTCCTCAAGCTTTGACGCCGATCCTGGACTGTGGCACAGGGGTGGGCTCTCTGAGCTGGGCTTCCAGTGCTGGAGCTGAGACATATGAGGTGGAAGCAGTGAGTGAAGACGGGAACACGCTGCCATTCAGTACCAACATCACCAGTGGCTTCTTATCAGAGCTGCTCTGCGGTCAACAGTACCAGGTCAAAGTCAGAGCAATCAACAGGCAATGCAGAAGTGTACTGAGTTCACCTGCTTACCTTTCTTCAGGTAATACAGAAACACTGATGGCTTGACTCTTTATACAGTCTGTTGAGAATGACCCATATCGCAGATCTCAAATGCTTTTCCTGTTCTGTTCTCCTCTAGTTCCATGTGTTCCTCAGAACGTTGTATCTGAGCTGGACTGTATATTTAACTTTATAAATATAAGGTGGAACATCAGCCGCGGGGCGGCGTCTTACCTGGTGGTTGCCAAGGGACCAGAGGGTCCAGTGACTGCCTGTAACACAACTGCGCAGGAGTGCAGACTGCAAACACTGCACTGCAGCTCCTCGTACAATGTCAGTGTTATTGCAGTAAACCAACAATGCAACACATCAGGAAGCTCCATCTTACGAATAAACACCGGTATAGTCTCCAGTTTCATATCCTCTGCTCTCTGCCTTTATCTCTGTTTGAAAAAAAGATTCATAACAACTGAGCATGCAAATAGATGTACGATAGAAAACAAATTACAATTCATTATGCAAATATTATTAAGTCAGAAATTCTGTGATTTTTTTTTTAAATTGGGGATTTTCAAACTTTAATCTTAAATTTCCTTCAAAATAGATTTTATATATAATTAATTATACATTTTATATATAATTATGAATTATATGCAGAAGTTGAATACCTAGTGTTAAGGTTTAAGCAATTTAATTTAGTCTTTCTCCAACCTTGTTTCTTTGCAGTGCCGTGTGTACCTACTCATGTGCAGGGCAGTGTAAACTGTACGACTGGAGCTGTATCCGTGTCCTGGGGCCCAAGCGTAGGGGCCATTTCCTATGCTGCGGTTGCTCAGACTAGTGGTGGCTACGCCTCAGTGTGTAACAGCACTGGAACAGCATGTGTCTTCTCGGATCTGCTCTGTGGGATGAACTATAGTCTAGCTGTCAGCGCCACTGACGGGACCTGCAACACTGCACCGAGTCAACCAGTTGTGCTGAGTACAGGTACCTGAAAAACTAAAAATAACATCCACCATAAACGCAGTTCAACAGTTTGGGCTCAGTAGTATTTCATGCTTTTGAAAGAAGTCTCTTCTGCTCACTAAGGCTGCATTTATTTGATCAAAAATACAGTAAAAATCATAACATTGTGAAATATTTTTACAATTTAAAATAACTTAAAATTTTCTATTTTAATATATTTTAAAGATGTAATTTAATCCTGTGATAGAAAAAAAGCTGCCATTACTCCAGCCTTCAGGGCTACATGATCCGTCAGAAATCATTCTAATATGCTGCTTAGCAAATATTTTTGTGTAAACAGTGATTTTTCTTATGATTATTTGATAAACAGAAAGATCAAAAGAACTGTATGAAATGTGAAATATAATTTATTTTGGAACATTATATAAGTTTTTGTCACTTTTGATCAAATTAATGCGTCCTTGCTGAATCGAATTTTGCCCAAAAAGATCTGACCCCAAACCTTTGAACAGTGTATTTTAGTGCAATGATACATATATGACTTTAATTGTTTTGTTCTTAAGGGTAAAAAAACACATCTAGACAGTGTGTAATAAAATAAAACAGAATGCATATATTAATATTTAATTAAATTCATAGCAATAAAATGACAGCCCTCAAATTTTTTATTTTAAGGACACAAGGATGTTTTACTGTTCATTATTTAGAAATGTGGTTCCCAAAATAACTGAAAAATGATCACTTCTACTGGCATTTGTACTACTTTTTAAGTTTCAAGTACTTAATTTATTATTTTGTTAATTATGATAACTGTTAATATTTGATTTCACTTCAGTGCCCTGTAAGCTACAGAATGTTAGCGCCCAGCTCAACTGTGACACCAACTCTGCTGTTGTAAGTTGGGAGCTCAGTGATAACGTCACACGTCACACAGTCCAGGCTATTGGTTCTGATGGACATCGCATCGACTGCACCAGCTCCGACCACAGTTGTACATTAGCTGGCATGCGCTGCGGCCAGAGCTATAACATTACCGTCACTGCCTTGGATGGAGCATGTGACAATAGCAACACAAACCTCATGCTGACGTCAGGTGAGTCTGCTGATTCTTTTGTGCATCTGATCACAGAAGCCAAGATTTAATCTTAAGCATCTGATTTGAAGTCGAATGTGGAATATTCCAACGACCATGCAGGTGTATGATTATGAACACAAATAGCAAATGTCCTTATAAAAATGGTTGCTGTTCTTGCTCTCTTTCAGCTCCATGTGCACCTAGCAATGTTCAGACGTCTCTGCATTGCAACATCAGTGGTGGTGTTGTGTCCGTGTCATGGGTGCAAGCAAACGGGGCGGAGTTTTACATGGCCGTGGCCGTGTCTAATGATGGTCATTCCTACTCTTGTAACACCACCACTGCCTCCTGTGATCTGCAGGAACTGCAGTGTGGCCAGATTTATAATGTCTCTGTCTACTCACTGGCCCATGGCTGTGGAGGCGTGAAGAGCACTATGTCTCAGGTGCAGACAGGTATGTGTGTGAAGATTTGACTTACTTTATCAAGTAAAGACAACTGTATGTCTTGGTATTTAATGTTTTAGTCCTATTCAAAACCAGTAGTCTCATCTTGAAGCTGATAATTACATAATAAGAGATCTGAACACTTCAGTACCCATCAAATATATAAAAGGACCATATATATTTGAAGGACCATATTGTATATTTTGTTGCATATAACAACATATCACTGGAGGTTTCTATCACCAACAGCAGTTGTAATTTAATTTGATAATTTTCCATCCACCCTCTCACATAAAGGTAAATCTAATGAAATATTTAAAGACCATATCCAAACCACTTCTCACACCAAAATCAATGAAGAAAATATGAAAATATATTTTGCTTAAGTGAAGTCTACTTTTGGCATTAATATGATATGGGCATTTTTACAGTTATTTTCAGAACAACTAAGAAAATGTTATCTCCAAATTATCATTGCTTAAATGCAAAAAAAAACATAAAACAATAATGGTTAAGTATTTATATTTTATTGTTAAATATTTTATAGGATTAAAAAGGTTTAATAATATAGTAAGGGGAACAACAAAACAATCTGTTGAAAGTAAAACATCTCATTATGCGAACAAAAATGTTTTGTACATTCATTTTAATAGAAATTCTATTTAGCTAAAATGCCACCATGCTAAAGTCTTGAAAATGGAATTTAATGTCATTTCATGAAATAGTCTTATTTCTGAGGCAAAATATGACAAGGAAATGTTTTGTAAGATTGAACCTTCTTTAGAAATAAACAATATGTTTAAGACTTCTACATGGGGCTATGACTAACATTTTGCATGTGACATGAGCGCCATGCTATCTTGATGTAGCATTGCGGAAAGAAGCACACCATCGTTGCTATATTGGCTTACCTTATATAGTTTCCTGCTGATGTAGTTAGTACAGCCCCACCCTTCAATAACATCCTGGTTCCTTCTTTCTCTTTTCTCAGCTCCGTGTCCCCCCCAGAACGTATCTGCCATTGTGCAGTGTGATTCAGAGTCTGTGCTGGTGAGTTGGAACCCAGCAGTGGACGCCAGCCTGTTCATAGTTGAACTTGAGTCTGAGAGCACTGGTGCAATCTCCTCATGTAACAGCACAAACACGCAGTGCTCCATCACCCATCTGCCCTGTGGAGAGAGATTCAACCTCAGTGTGGTGGCACTGAGAGGCGGCTGTCAGAGTCAACCAAGCAGTGACCTTTCCATCGCCTCAGGTTGGACACTAACACAAGAATACATTCTCAAACAGATTTCAATAGCTATATTTACCTAACGCACTTCATGTCTGACCTCTTCTCTTTACAGCTCCATGTATTCCACAGGGGGTCAACGGTACTGTGGACTGTGTCACTAACTCTGCATGGGTATCATGGGATGTAGTTAATGCTGCAGAGTCTTACACAGTGCTGGCTGTAGGGGAGGACGGTCACAATTCCACCTGTAGCAGCTCAAACTCCACCTGTAATGTACCTGACCTAGGCTGTGGAAGGAGCTTCACCTTTCACGTCACTGCCTCAAATGCTGCTTGCGTGAGCCCACCCAGCAGCAGCTTTCAGCTGGAGACAGGTAAGAGACGCAGGTGTGGTAGACAGGTTTAGCCCTTTTATTTGAGACTAAGTGTATCTCAGCCTTAAAGTATGTATAATATCTCTCTCCAGCACCTTGTGCCTTGTCATCCATCGTGGTGGTGGCTGAATGCCACAGTTCTGTTATCATGGTACAATGGCAGAAAGCTCGGGGCGGAAATTCTCTCTACTTTGCCACAGCAGAGGATCAAGACCTTTCCATCCTTTCCTGCAATAGCTCCGCTTCTTCCTGCAACCTAACCAATGTGCATTGCGACAAGGAGTACACTATCATTGTGGCTGCGTCGGCCAACAAATGCAGCAGCCTCCGCAGCCCACCCTACAAGATCAGAACTGGTACAATCATTAAAATTATGCCATTCCCATCTAGAATAGATGTTTATTTTAGAAAGCAATCCATTAGAAATCAATAAATACAGAGTTCTGGCATGAAACTCTAGATGCGCAGTCAGATAGGTCTAACTCAATCTGACCTAAAGACATCATTATCACATGGCACAGCTGATTGGTTCTCTCCTGTATCGGTAGCCAATGAGCTCGCTGCTCAACATTCAAATATATGATTAGTGCTTGCCGTAGGAGTTGCAGCTTGCTTCAGAAACCCTCCACCTTCCCCAGCTCCACCCGTATAGATCTGCTACGAGGTGATTCATGTATGCTATATGGGGGTTATTTCATGTATGTTATACTTGCAGCAGCAATATTTCTTACATGCTCACAGCAGCATGCTGTGGATGTATTGTCAGTAGCAAGTCTCGGTACTTGCTGTGCCGCAGCAGCAGCAGCAGCAGCAGCAGCAGCAGCAGCGTGGCATATCTATTCCGCCAAGACCAAATACATTAACATTGTCATGTACATTACCATGCCAATCCCTCTGAGAGTTGTCATGACAGAACTACTCATAAGCAACCATTACTATTATAATTGCTCCAACTTGGGGTTGGGAATTGACCCTTTAAATAGGTCCACTATTACTTTCTTAGGTGATCTGAAAAAAAACTTAGACTTGCATTTAAGAAGGGACTTGGGTCAAACCTAGGGACCACGATATCATGGACACCTGGGGATGGGCTTTTTGACTTATTTTCTAGTCACTGAGCAACCGCCCAGAAACACTAATGTTAACAACTGTGCTATACACTATAACATCTGCATTGTGGGACTTTTCTAGTTAAAGAGTTAATTCACCCAAAAATGAAAATTCTGTCATTAATTACTCACCCTCATGTCGTTCCAAACCTGTAAGACCTTCATTCATTTTCAGAACACAAATTAAGATATTTTTGATGAAATCTGAAATCTTTTGATGAAAGCTTTCTGACCCTCCATAGACAGCGACGCAACTCTGTGTCAGTCTTTGACGTGTGTTTGAACGTGTGTCTAAGACTGCAACAGAAGAGAAGAAATTGTTTAATAAAGTCATTATTTTTGTTTTGTTTGCTTTGTTTGGGCCTTGAACGTGGTAGTTGCATTGCTGTTTATGGAGGGTCAGAAAGCTCTCCGATTTCATCAAAAATATCTTAACTTGTGTTCCGAAGATGAACAAAAGTCCTATGGGTTTGGAATGACATGAGGGTGAGTAACATAATTTTCATTTCATAATTTTCAACTGGACTCTATAGACCTGGGGCCTCATTTATAAAACTCTACATAGATTTAATCCTAAAAGTGTACGTACGCTTGTTGTGTGTTGTACGTAGGCACAAAAGCTAGATTTTGCATAAGCATAAAAGTTTTCAGATTTATAAAACCATGTGTACACAAGAGCCTGTGCAAAAATCCCTTTATAAATCACAGTCAGGGGAAGATTGTGTGTACGTGCATCTCAACCCTGTCTCCTTCCTGAAATCACCATATATGGAGCTTACAACGCCTAGTTTTACTATGCATAACCTCATCTGCATATCATTTCCATGCATATTCCCATCCACGTGACACCATGTTTAACACCGTCAAAGGTACAAGACGTTTAGGAAATATGAGATACAGAATAAATGCCATTTGTGCCACATTAATTTTTATTGCCAAAATCATCCAGAATGTTTTAGAATATATCAAAATATCCATAAAAACAAAACTGTTTAGTTCTCAGATAAATAGCCTATTATAGAATATACTTGACCTCGTTCTTTTCCACTGGACAAATAGTATTTAAATTGTTTTAAACAATTCAAATCAAATTAAATTAATGCAGTTTTGCTGATAAAGTGAACATCTTTAAGCTATTTTTAGTGGAAACAGATAAGCCTATATTTCTTGCAGTGTAAATACAATTATCTGACTTGGCGCATCACTGACTTAGTATTTTAAAAAGGAAACATGCAAATCTTATAGTTTTCTTCAAGTTGTATCCTTCAAATACAGTGGTATATTTCATAATGTTGTGGAGATGCCTTCACACGACATCAACACCTCCATGCAGCTTCCTTTTTGACGCGAAGAGTCAGATAATTGTATTTACACTGCAATAAATATAGGCCTATTTTTTCCACTAAAAATAGCTAAAAGATGTTCACCTTGTCAGCAAAACTGCATTAATTTAATTTAATTTGATTTTTTTTTTTAAACAATTGAAATATTACTGGGCCAGTGGAAATGAATGAGATCAATTCTATTCTAAATTATTTTTCTGAGAACTATTTTAAACAGTTTAAAAATATATATATATTTATTCTAAAACATAACAAGGATACCGGAGAATTTTTAGCAATAAAAATGAATGTGTATGGCACAAATGGCATTTATAGACCGAATCTCATATTTCCTTAATGTCTTGTACCTTTGACGGTGTTAAACATGGTGTCACGTGGATGGGAATATGCATGGAAATTTATGCATAGTAAAACTAGGCGTTGTAAGCTCCATATATGGTTATTTCGGGGAGGAGACAGGGTGGAGATGCACGTACGCACAATCTTCCCCTGACTGGGATTTATAAAGGAATTTTTGCGTAGGTTCTGGCGTAAGTATGGTTTTATAAATCTGTAAACTTTTGAGCGTACGCAAAATCTAGCTTTTGCGCCTATGTACACTTTTAGGATGAAATCTATGGAGAGTTTTATAAATGAGACCCCAGATACGTGCGTGGAAAAAAACTTGTATACATGAGGCCCCTGGGTTGTACAATCCTGCTCATGGAGGGCAGCCTTCCTGTGGAGTTTAGTTTCTGCCCGGAAGTTCCTAGTAATCACAAAGACCTTGATGAGATAAGGCTGGAGCTAAACTCAAAAGGAAGGTAGACCTCCAGGAGAAGGACTGGATACCCCGATCTACAGATCTATCCATGTTCGATTTGCTTTCATTACATTAATATTCAGGTTGTGCTCATTTCTTCCTTTCATCATCTGCAGCACCCTGTCAGCCCTCATCAGTACAGGCCGATACAGACTGTCAGTCAAAGGATGTGTTTGTGTCATGGAACCCATCATACGTGGCACAGTCGTACCTGCTTAGTGCAGTTGGCAGAAATGGAGACTTGAAGACGTGCAATACCTCGAACAATAACTGCACGCTAACTGATCTGCATTGCAGCAACATCTATCATGTGTCCGTTTTAGCCAGTAATGAGAACTGCACCAGCCTGCCCAGTGCTAACATCACCATCAAAACGGGTAAGAGGACACAAATTCTCTTCCTTTAAATTCAGTGAGCAAAGTTATACATTGTGTAAATATTAATTATTGCCATGTGTTTATTCTGTAGTGCCATGTGAGCCAGCCAACTTAACTGCAACCGTACAGTGCGGGAACAGTAGTAGTGCCTCCTTGTCCTGGGTGGGGAGTACAGGGACGGTGGCCTACATGGGACTTGCTCAGTCAGAAACCGGCACAACAGCCTACTGTGAAACCACACACACATCTTGTACTCTGGAGGGCTTAGTGTGTGGCACTGTGTACAACTTTACAGTGCAGGCAACAGATGGCTTCTGCAACAGTTCCTTGAGTGAACCTCAAACTAAGGGAGCAGGTACGTCATCCTCACGGCACAATAATCTGCTTTCTTTGAACTGATCTGCTAGTATTTCACATGCCAACCAAGGCCGTTTCAAACTACTGCTTTTGGAGTGGAGCAACATTTGGTTCAATTTATTGGCACGTTTTCTGTACTTGTTTGTCTACCAAAAGAACCACACCCCAATTTGCTTGAAAATGAAGGTCGAGAGTAGAGGTGGAAAGCATTCTCAAATATCTCATCTTGGGTCTTTAATCAGAAAATTATTATTATTATTATTAATGATGATGATGCTAATAATTATTATGAATACTACTACTAATAATGATAATAAAAATTTATTTTAATAACAATTTATTTAACATGTATTTTATTACTATTATTAATAATAATAATAAAATTAATTTGCATATTTATTTAATTTGTTATTATTTTATTTTTACAATTCATTTTATTATTAACTATTATTATTATTAATAATATATTATATAAATAACGAATTATTATTACAAACCGATATAATAATAATGGTTGTATATATATTTTTATTGTTCATATTTTTTATTTGTATAATTAATATTTTATTTATTTAATTATTGTTATTAATAATAATAGTATAAAGTATTACCGATATTAATATTATTACAGATATAATAATAATAATAATATGAAGAAGTTGATGTTGTGATCCAGCGCCCTGCACGCCCCTTAATCTCGTGACATATTTCGAGTGTGACAATCAGTTGGGTTCTGTCAGCTGGGGCCCAAGCGAGGGGGCGAACATGTACACTGCCACAGCAGTGGGTGAGGATGGACACACACACCTGTGTGTTACTAATGGGACCAGCTGCACCTGGGAGGACCTGCACTGCGGTGAAATCTATGACGTTACAGTCACTGCCAATGACAGCCGCTGCACGAGCGCACGCAGCAACAGCACCACCATACACATGGGTAAGACCAGACACTCTAATGATAAATGTACCAGCAGTCTGCATCTATTCTGTAGGATAAATTTAAGTAGTTTAAAACTAACATTACATACTTATCATTTACATGATAGTTAAATTAAAAAACTAAAACAAATGTATGACTATGTATTAGCTAGAAGATTGCATTAGATAACAAAATAAGAAAAGATCAAACCAAGTGGCATTCACTTGACACTTGCATTTATATTTGTACTGTTTAAAATTAAGATAAAAAGTATTTGAACACTGTGAACTTGAGGGGGATCAGCTGGTTAAAAATAATTGTAAAAATGACTAAGAAAAGTTGATCTATCTATCTATCTGAATACCTAGTGTTAAGGTTTAAGCTATTTAATTTAGTCTTTCTCCAACCTTGTTTCTTTGCAGTGCCGTGTGTACCTACTCATGTGCAGGGCAGTGTAAACTGTACGACTGGAGCTGTATCCGTGTCCTGGGGCCCAAGCGTAGGGGCCATTTCCTATGCTGCGGTTGCTCAGACTAGTGGTGGCTACGCCTCAGTGTGTAACAGCACTGGAACAGCATGTGTCTTCTCGGATCTGCTCTGTGGGATGAACTATAGTCTAGCTGTCAGCGCCACTGACGGGACCTGCAACACTGCACCGAGTCAACCACTTGTGCTGAGTACAGGTACCTGAAAAACAAAAAATAACATCCACCATAAACGCAGTTCAACAGTTTGGGGTCAGTAGTATTTCATGCTTTTGAAAGAATTCTCTTCTGCTCACCATGCCTGCATTTAATTGATCTAAAGTACAGCAAAAACATTAATATTGTGAAATAGTTTTACTATTTAAAATAATGTTTTCTTTTTGAATATATATTAAACATGTAATTTATTCCTGTGATTTCAAAGCTGAATTTTTAGCACCATTACTCCAGTACCACGATCCTTCAGAAATCATTCAACTATTCTGATTTGCTGCTCAAAAAAACATTAATTATTATTATGTTGAAAACAGCTGAGTAGAATTTTTTGATGAACAGAAAGTTCAGAAGAACAGCATTTATTTGAAATAAAAATCTTTTGTAACATTGTAAGTGTCTTTATCATCACTTTTTTTATAAATTTAAAGCATCCATGCTGAATAGAAGTATTAATTTTCTATAATTACCCCCCCTCCACATATATATATAATATTCCAAACTTTTGACTGGTATTATGTTTTTAAAATATACTATTACTATTATAATATACTTTAAAATATAAGTTATTAAATATACTTCTGTATTTTTCAGCACCATGTCTGTCCACCAGTGTGTCTGCCATGGTGGACTGCCCCACAGATTCAGTTCTAGTGTCTTGGAGTGCCATTGCTGGGGCGGAGAATAACTCCGTGACCGCTTTGGGGTCAAAAGGTCAAACAGTCTTCTGCTCAACCAGTCAGAACCACTGTAACATCTCCTCCCTGCAGTGTGGACAGCAATTTAACCTCACCTTCAGCTCTATGAACCAGCAGTGCCAAACGACCTCCACCACCAATGTCACATTCCTGTCCAGTGAGTTTGCAAAGCATAATGTGTAGCAAGTGTAAAAAGATGAAGTACACTAATTAGGGTCCAACTTTTCTGTGACCACCCTGCAGGACCCTGCGTACCACTGCAGCCAGTCGTCGATAAACTGTGCGGTAACAAAATGTATGTGATGTCTTGGGATGTGAGAGAAGAAGTTGATTACTACGTCGCCCGCTCGGTATGTCCCTGAAATTACACATAAACCTGCTGTGCACTAAACAAAAATCCACATCCTTAAACACTCAAAGGCAGTATGCAATTTCCTGTTGTTATATAAAAGAAAATTAATTGCAAATAATTCTGTTATTTGAGTGAGAATGGTAGGAAATGAGTTAACCTACCTTTGTAATGTGTGTTGTGATCCAGCGCCCTGCACGCCCCTTAATCTCGTGACATATTTCGAGTGTGACAATCAGTTGGGTTCTGTCAGCTGGGGCCCAAGCGAGGGGGCGAACATGTACACTGCCACAGCAGTGGGTGAGGATGGACACACACACCTGTGTGTTACTAATGGGACCAGCTGCACCTGGGAGGACCTGCACTGCGGTGAAATCTATGACGTTACAGTCACTGCCAATGACAGCCGCTGCACGAGCGCACGCAGCAACAGCACCACCATACACATGGGTAAGACCAGACACTCTAATGATAAATGTACCAGCAGTCTGCATCTATTCTGTAGGATGAATTTAAGTAGTTTAAAACTAACATTACATACTTATCATTTACATGATAGTTAAATTAAAAAACTAAAACAAATGTATGACTATGTATTAGCTAGAAGATTGCATTAGATAACAAAATAAGAAAAGATCAAACCAAGTGGCATTCACTTGACACTTGCATTTATATTTGTACTGTTTAAAATTAAGATAAAAAGTATTTGAACACTGTGAACTTGAGGGGGATCAGCTGGTTAAAAATAAATGTGAAAATGACTAAGAAAAGTCAGTATTATCTATCTACCTAAATTTATAATAGATAAATATAGATAGATAAAAAGTGTGATCAATCAGCTAATTTAAATCACACAAACTACGCATTTTCAATTAATATATTTTTTCAATGTACATATTTATCATAATGAGAAAAATATGCAACTTCTAATGATTATAAATTATATTTTTTTTATTAAACACATTTTCTCAATTTCAATACAAACTAAATATTATTTGAAATAAAAAGCACTTTAAGATCTTTCACAATACCCTGATATATTCCATTATTGTGTGTGCAGACAAACCTCGGGAGTTTTTAAATCTGTGTGTGCTGGCTGTAGGGGAGGACGGTCACAATTCCACCTGTAGCAGCTCAAACTCCACCTGTAATGTACCTGACCTAGGCTGTGGAAGGAGCTTCACCTTTCACGTCACTGCCTCAAATGCTGCTTGCGTGAGCCCACCCAGCAGCAGCTTTCAGCTGGAGACAGGTAAGAGACACCTGCGGTAGACAGGTTTAGCCCTTTTATTTGAGACTAAGTGTATCTCAGCCTTAAAGTATGTATAATATCTCTCTCCAGCCCCTTGTGCCTTGTCATCCATCGTGGTGGTGGCTGAATGCCACAGTTCTGTTATCATGGTACAATGGCAGAAAGCTCGGAGCGGAAATTCTCTCTACTTTGCCACAGCAGAGGATCAAGACCTTTCCATCCTTTCCTGCAATAGCTCCGCTTCTTCCTGCAACCTAACCAATGTGCATTGCGACAAGGAGTACACTATCATTGTGGCTGCTTCGGCCAACAAATGCAGCAGCCTCCGCAGCCCACCCTACAAGATCAGAACTGGTACAATCATTAATATTATGCCATTCCCATCTAGAATAGATGTTTATTTTAGAAAACAATCCATTAGAAATCAACAACTACTCATAAGCAACCATTACATTATTATTGCTCCAACTTAGGGCGGGGAATAGGTGATCTGACTTTCAATTTTTACCAAATAGATGAAGAAAAAACTCTTAGACTTGCATTTAAGAAGGGACTTGGGTCAAACCTAGGGACCACGATATCATGGACACCTGGGGATGGGCTTTTTGACTTATTTTCTAGTCACTGAGCAAACGCCTAGAAACACTAATGTTAACAACCGTGCTATACACTATAACATTTGCATTGTGGGACTTTTCCAATTAAAGGGTTAATTCACCCAAAAATGAAAATTCTGTCATTAATTACTCACCCTCATGTCGTTCCAAATCTGTAAGACCTTCGTTCATTTTCGGAACACAAGATATTTTTGATGAAATCTGAGAGCTTTCTGACCCTCCATAGACAGCGACACAACTCCGTGTCAGTCATAACTTCATAAAATTACAGTTGAACCACTGATGTCACATGGACTATTTTAATGATGTCCTTACTACCTTTCTGGGCCTTGAACGTGGTAGTTGCATTGCTGGAATAGGTGATCTGACTTTCAATTTTTACCAAATAGATGAAGAAAAAACTCTTAGACTTGCATTTAAGAAGGGACTTGGGTCAAACCTAGGGACCACGATATCATGGACACCTGGGGATGGGCTTTTTGACTTATTTTCTAGTCACTGAGCAAACGCCTAGAAACACTAATGTTAACAACCGTGCTATACACTATAACATCTGCATTGTGGGACTTTTCCAATTAAAGGGTTAATTCACCCAAAAATGAAAATTCTGTCATTAATTACTCACCCTCATGTCGTTCCAAATCTGTAAGACCTTCGTTCATTTTCGGAACACAAGATATTTTTGATGAAATCTGAGAGCTTTCTGACCCTCCATAGACAGCGACACAACTCCGTGTCAGTCATAACTTCATAAAATTACAGTTGAACCACTGATGTCACATGGACTATTTTAATGATGTCCTTACTACCTTTCTGGGCCTTGAACGTGGTAGTTGCATTGCTGTTTATGGAGGGTCAGAAAGCTCTCCGATTTCATCAAAAATATCTAAACTTGTGTTCCAAAGATGAACGAAAGTCTTAGGGGTTTGGAATGACATGAGGGTGAGTAATTAATGACAGAATTTTCATTTGTGGGTGAACTATCCCTTTAATTGCAACTGCACTCTATAGACCTGGGGCCTCATTTATAAAACTCTCTGTAGATTTCATCCTAAAATTGTATGTATGCACAAAAGCTAGATTTTGCGTACGCACAAAAGTTTTCAGATTTATAAAACCATACGTACACCAGAACCTGCGCAAAAATCCCTTTATAAATCCCAGTCAGGGGAAGATTGTGCGTACATGCATCTCCACCCTGTCTCCTCCCCGAAATAACCATATACGCCTAGCTTTACTATGCATATTCCCATCCACATGACACAAATATGAGATACAGAATAAATGCCATTTGTGCCACATTAATTTTTATTGCCAAAATCATCAAGCATGTTTTAGAATATTTCAAAATATCCATAAAAACAAAACTGTTTTGTTCACAGATAAATAGCCTATTATAGAATATACTTGACCTCATTCTTTTCCACTGGCCAAATAGTATTTAAATTGTTTTAAACAATTCAAATCAAATGAAATGAATGCAGTTTTGCTGATAAGGTGAACATCTTTTTGCTATTTAACCCTATATTTATTGCAGAGTAAATACATTTGTCTGATTCGGCGCATCACTAAGTATTTTAAAAAGGAAACACACAAATCTTACCGTTTTCCCCCCCAAGTTGTATCCTTCAAATACAGTGGTATATACTAGTCAACATTTGAAGTGGATCAAAACCTTTCAAAAAGTTCAATCAGGATCAAAAGTTGTCCTAAAACCTAAAACAAAATGTGTTCTTGTCTTAGGACAAGACTTAGAACTTTTTTGATCCACTTCAAATGTTGACTACTGTATTTCATAATGTTGACCATAATGTTCACACGACATCAACACCTCCGTGCAGCTGTGGTTGTACAGTAGCTATTATTCAAACCGGACAATGGACCGTCCGCCATAATATCGAAGTAAGTGTGCATCATTGATCATTGTACTCGCTAAAACTTTTTAGTTTAGCTTAAATATTAATTATTATAGCACTCATCGCTGTCATTAAAACATTGCATGTCACAGGAAAAGTGATTGCGCATCAACTACAAATATGTCTAAATTCATATAATTTTGGTTTAACTTCTGCGTAATGGCTTTATGTAATTTCAGTGCTTATCTCCATTAATGAGAGTGTAATCTTTAATGCAAATGTGTATATTGACATGAAAACGGAGTTTAAAAATCCTTGTTTACTTCATTACTTTTCTCACGCCAGGAAAGAGTGTACGCACAGTCAAGAGCATCCGTAATGTGCGTACATATTTACGCCAAGTTTATTTTTTATAAATCCAGATACGTGTGTGGAAAACAGCGTACGCACATTTCTATGCCCATTTTGTGCGTACACGAGTATACATGAGGCCCCTGGGTTGTACAATCCTGCTCATGGAGGGCAGCCTTCCTGTGGAGTTTAGTTTCTGCCCGGAAGTTCCTAGTAATCACAAAGACCTTGATGAGATAAGGCTGGAGCTAAACTCAAAAGGAAGGTAGACCTCCAGGAGAAGGACTGGATACCCCGATCTACAGATCTATCCATGTTCGATTTGCTTTCATTACATTAATATTCAGGTTGTGCTCATTTCTTCCTTTCATCATCTGCAGCACCCTGTCAGCCCTCATCAGTACAGGCCGATACAGACTGTCAGTCAAAGGATGTGTTTGTGTCATGGAACCCATCATACGTGGCACAGTCGTACCTGCTTAGTGCAGTTGGCAGAAATGGAGACTTGAAGACGTGCAATACCTCGAACAATAACTGCACGCTAACTGATCTGCATTGCAGCAACATCTATCATGTGTCCGTTTTAGCCAGTAATGAGAACTGCACCAGCCTGCCCAGTGCTAACATCACCATCAAAACGGGTAAGAGGACACAAATTCTCTTCCTTTAAATTCAGTGAGCAAAGTTTATACATTGTGTAAATCATTTTTGCCATTTGTTTATTCTGCAGTGCCATGTGAGCCAGCCAACTTAACTGCAACCGTACAGTGCGGGAACAGTAGTAGTGCCTCCTTGTCCTGGGTGGGGAGTACAGGGACGGTGGCCTACATGGGACTTGCTCAGTCAGAAACCGGCACAACAGCCTACTGTGAAACCACACACACGTCTTGTACTCTGGAGGGCTTAGTGTGTGGCACTGTGTACAACTTTACAGTGCAGGCAACGGATGGCTTCTGCAACAGTTCCTTGAGTGAACCTCAAACTAAGGGAGCAGGTACGTCATCCTCACGGCACAATAATCTGCTTTCTTTGAACTGATCTGCTAGTATTTCACATGCCAACCAAGGCCGTTTCAAACTACTGCTTTTGGAGTGGAGCAACATTTGGTTCAATTTATTGGCACGTTTTCTGTACTTGTTTGTCTACCAAAAGAACCACACCCCAATTTGCTTGAAAATGAAGGTCTAGAGAACAGTTCAAGTCCACTCTTGTATGGTTGTCAGTTGGTATGTAAGAAATTTGACCCAATTTGCAGATCCGAATCACTACTTATAAAGTTCTTCAAGGAGCAATTTGGTTAGCAGTTACTTGCATTAAGATTGTGTATATAACTTGAAAAAGGACCTCTAGAAGAAGAGAATCAAACTTGGGTTCAGATCAGCCATGAAAGCCTAACAAGTGCCTGTAGCTTTCTAGTAATCCTGAAAGTGAAGTGACGTGTGGCCAAGTATGGTGTCCCATTCTCGGAATTTGTGCTCTGCATTTAACCCATCCAAGTGCACACACACACACACACACCATGAACACACACCTGGAGCAGTGGGCAGCCTGGGGAGCAGTTGGGGGTTCGGAGCCTTGCTCAAGGGTCTCAACTCAGTCGTGGTATTAAAGGTGGAGAGAGTGCTGGTTATTCACTCTCCCCACCTCCAATCCCGGCCGGACCTGAGACTCGAACCCGCGACCTTTGGGTTACAAGTCCGGCTTGTGAGATTTGTCCATCCCTGGTATTTATTTAGTGTTGGCAAATCCATTGTGAAGACCGATATAAGTGACATTTTGGTTCTGCTGCTTTGGGATACCAACTGGGAAAACAGGTTTTAAGTCTTGTTCACCTCTTTCCCTTAGCTCCATGTCCTCCAGCTGGATTGAGGGTTGTCCCTCGTACAGTAGTAAATGATACTCAGATCTTGAGGGCGTCTTGGTCTACTGTGAATTGTCCTAATTCTGAATACCTCCTGGCACTCACGGGCAGCATTCAGGGCAACAACCAAGCACTCTTTGACCTCACCTCCTATTGGACAAGACGCACATTCTTCGAAGTGCCTCTCCTTTGTGGCTCCACCTACAGCGCAACCATCAGTGCGAGGAACTCTGCCGCCACAAGTGACAAGTCTGCTGCTGTCACTGGAAGCACAGGTGCACAATATTCAGTCACCACAGGACTATCTTCTTACCATACTTAAATGGGAAATGAAGATGCTTAAAATGCAAAAACATCCATAACTCATCTGTTCATTTGTTTCCTTCCCCCAGTGCCTTGTGCCCCTCTAAATGTGACGTTCTCTGCATCATCGGCGGTAGTGGCATGGAACGAGTCACTATTTGCTACAAACTACACTGTGTATGAGGTTACTTCCTCTGGAAGGACGAAACTCTGCATGAGCTCACAGCTCCTCTGCTCCGTCACCAATTTCAGCAGTGGTCACATTGTTGTAACTGCCCATAACACTGCCGGCGAGAGTGAAGACTCGGTGCCTGTTGTAGGTAAGAAGGCTCAGATCAGTGGTAATTTCCATGAAAACAGGTTTGTCAATATGTATCTTGCTTTGGTGAAAGTCCTGTAACCTTTGATCTTGTCCATCCTTTGGCAGTGACAGCAGGTCGCAGGAGGAGGTGAGACCTGGCACAAAGTGAGAAAGGTGAGTTGATGCTCAACAGCAGAAAATAAAGAACAAGTTATGAAAATTCATGAGATTTCTTTTTTCAGATGAATTCTCAAAATGGAGAAATATACTTTAGTTAGGGTAAATGGTTTTTTGAACTTAACACAAAAAAAGCCTTGACCAACATTGGTGTTGATGAAACATACAAAATATCTCCAGTGCACCAAAAAAACCTACTTCTGTCTCCTTCAGCCTCATTCCACATGCAATTAAATGATGCCACCTAATGTTTGCTTTTAAAGATTCATCCACAACAGCTCCTTTCCTTAACATCTTAAAACATATTTACAAGCCACAGAAATATTTTAAGTCTTGAAATGGTTTTCAGTATTAAACATTGACTCTCTCTACACCAGGCCTGACCAACCCTGAGTAAATGCTTGCATCTCATCTCATCGCACTCAAACTCTTGCCTCTGAGAACTCCTGCACTTATCTAAGAATTCTTGAAACTGTGATATTTAACTTTTGCATGTTACATATATTCTGGTTTAAGGTTCACTTTTTTTTTTTTAAACAATATTTAAGGGTGGGATAGATTGCCTGGGTAAAAGATTAACTTTCTTTTAAAATGTTTTCCAAAATCTGTTGTTTCTGGCTGTGGGATTTACTTTCATGCAATGCCAAATATTTTTTAAAAAGGTCTTATATAAATATGTATTCCTATGTTTTTGTATACGAGTAGAGTTATATTAAATACAAAGAGCATTTCTCCATGTGATCAGTCTTATAAATAACCTGTAAAGCACATGTAAAATAAATTAACCATACACAAAACACCTGCTGTTCTTATAAAATGAATGTTCTTACAAGGAACTGACAAGGGCACCACAGTGACCTATTCAAAGCAAAACATCACTTTGAAAGACTGTATTTAACATCTTTGAGTAAATGAAATACTCATCCCATGAACCAACTATGGACTATATTGCCTACAAATAATTTTAAATATAAAAGTGCATTTTATCTTTTTTTTTTTTTTTTTTACAATTCATTCTAAAATATTAATACTTGTACAATTTGAGAGTAGGGCTGACTAAATTAATCACAATGCTTCATGGGAATGGGTAGCCGGTTCTTTTCTCACCTACACCGTAATAGCAACTTCTCAGATCTCTTTTTAAAATTATGGATAGTACTGTACTCCAAAAATAAAGTTGAAATCATACAGCAGAAGCACGTCTTAAGTTAATAACCTCAAATTTCATGGCAGGTTTGCCTTGAAAGGTTTGCCAGTGCAAACTATCAACCTCCATGAAGAAATTGTGACACTTTTACTTACAGAACCCAACAGTTTTGCTTAATGACATCAAAAACATAAAACTGAGCAAATGTGCTCCATACAATAATTTTATTAGAAAACGAGATGCAACAGAGCAATGAAACGGCACAATGTCAGCAAAGCTTTCAGCAGAAATTTAAAACATTCTCTGAGCTCTATGTACAAAGCCATTTGTGAAAATCCAGAAAACAAATTGGGAGAGAAAGAGGATTAAAAAAAAAAGTTTTAAAATGGCATTTTCAGTCTGGACATCTGTAATGGGCAACTGAGAGAAAATTACATTTTTTGGTATCTACACAAGTGGCAATTAACAGTGCAGGAAAAAAAATCCAGGCTTTTCCATATGCTTTCTTCAACAAGTGGTGCACAAGAGGATTAAAGATAAAGACATGAAGTAATAAGAGAGGGACTGGAATAAAGGTACAGAGGGAATTTGAGAGAGAGGAGGAGGGGGAGATAGAGACAGACTTGGATCAGGGAGACTCTGCTCGAAAACTGTTTGTTCTTTCTCCTTTTTCAGGACTGGGACGCTCTTGTTTCACATGTTCTCGTCCATTGCTGGATTCTCGTCGGTGCGAGTGCTCTTTGCTCCGACTGCGTTTGTGTGAGCGTTCCTTACTATGGCTGCGTTCCCTTTTCCTGTTCTTCTCCTCCCCTGATTCCTGCCTGCTCCTGCTGCCCGAGCGGGAGCGCTTCTTGCTAGATCGCTCGGTTTTGTGTTTCCGGTCTCTGCTTCTTGACCGTTTACTCCTCTTTTCTTCCCTGTGCTTTCTTTCCTCCTTATTTTCCTTGTGCCGCCTCTCTTCCCCCTCTCCTTTACTCCTCTTGTCTTTGGACCTCTCCCTATCTTTATGGTGCTCTCTGTCTTTCTTGCGACTATGCTCGCTCTCATTCTCTGCCTCCTTTTCTTTCTCTCTGTCTTTCCTCTCGTTCCGCTTCTCTCGACTGGCGCTGCGACTCCGGCGTCGTTCCCTGGTTCGGTCTGGTGTTCTGGAGCGTCGTCTATCTCGGTCTCTCTCCCTGTCCTTCTCCCGCTCTCTGTCTCTATCCCGGTCCTTTCCCTCCCGTTCTTTGCGCTGCCGATCTCGTTCTCTCTCCAGTTCACGGTCGAAATTGGCGCCTTGTTTTTCTCTGTGATGGCTGCGACTCCGTGAACGATTTTGGGATCTCTTGGGACTGGGACTTTTCCTAGGTGTCCTGAACATACACAAATAAAAATATTAAACAGCATATACAAATACACTAGAACCTATAGGACACTTTGTCAAATAGGAGAGAGTGAGGGTCATTCTGAAACAGCAATACTATTAAAGGATTAGTTCACCCAAAAATGAAAATTCTGTCATTAATTACTCACCCTCATGTCGTTTCAAACCCGTAAGACCTTCGTTCATCTTCGGAAACACAAATTAAGATATTTTTGATGGAATCTGAGAGCTGTCTGACCCTGCATAGACAGCAATACAACTGAAATGTTTCCAAGTCCAGAAATGTAGCAAGGAGATCTGTAAAATAATCCATGTGACATCAGGGGTTCAACCGTAATGTTACTAAGCTACGAGAATACTTTGTGCGCAAAAGAAAAAAAATTATGACTTTATTCAACAATTCGTCTCCTCCGCGTCACCCTGTAGCGCCATTTTGGAGAGTATCCGCTGGAAGTAAACAGCGTATGCTGTTCTGTGTCAGCTGCGTCACACGGATACGCTGTTTTCGTTCAGATCAAATCACAACAACGAAGGAAACAGATTCGGCGTGAAACAGATGACACTGTTTACGTCCAGCGGATACTCTCCAAAATGGTGCTACAGGGTGACGCGGAGGAGACGAGTTGTTGAATAAAGTAGTTTTTTTTTTCCCTTTTGTGCACAAAAAGTATTCTCGGAGCTTCGTAAAATTACTCCTTGCTACATCTCTGAACTTGGGAACATTTCAGTTGTATTGCTGTCTATGCAGGGTCAGACAGCTCTTAGACTCCATCAAAAATATCTTAATTTGTGTTCCGAAGATCAACGAAGGTCTTAACGTGTTTGAAATGACACGAGGGTGAGTAATTAATGACAATTTTCATTTTTGGGTGAATTATCCCTTTAACTGCATTCAGATTTAATGAAAGACAGAATCTGATATAGACGAGCATAACTCAGAGCAGAGATAAGAGCATTTCAATTAATTTTACCCAGGATACGTTTACAAACAAGGCACAATTCAACAGGATTTTCAGAAAGATTGAAACTAAAATACGATGCTGTGCGACTACATTGGATATGACAGTAATGTCGCAACACACAAGTGAGAGTAACTTTTATTACGTGGTCACTCCCGCTTTGTTACGGATTGTTTGATATGTATTATTTATGTTTTTTACTTAAATCATAGCAGGGTCTATCTATGAAAAACTGCAAAACTGAACTGCCAATCATACCAGTGGGCATTTACTTCCAAGTATATAATCTTCCATGCCTGATGAGGGACGTCAAAACAGGACAGAAAATAGCCTATTACTTCTAAATTATAATGCGTACGTAAAAATCTTTATAACATATGTGGACCTCAGAGCACAGTACAAAATTAACAAAAAAGGCAATTCCTGACCCCTTCAACAACCAACAACACAAAAAATGAGTTGGGCTTAAATCCAACAGTGTCCATTATATACAAACAATTCCAAAGAAATGGCAAGTGCCACAATGAATTAAACATTGAAGTAGAAAAACTGAAATGTTATTTTCTTGTAAAACGTACTCCAGTAATCGGTTTTAATTACGGAGTAATTATGGCTGGTCTTAAATAGTTCATTCAAAACGGTTGGTGATCATTTAAATAAGCTGAAGTTAAAAAAGCTGAATTTGCCTTCTTACATCGCCACTACAGTTCAAACACAACACCACAAACACTGATCACTGCTGATCTGGTTAGCCAAATAATCTCATCCCGCCCACACACAACGAATGTACCTGGAATGGCGCCTATCTCCATGCCTTCCTGAATCGGCTGCCGCCTCTTCATTCTGCGAATCTTTCTGCGGGGGTTTACGTGGTCGGCCCTTCATGTGCTGGTCGATTGATTTCTGAACAGGAACAGGAATTCGTGGGAACAACGTTGAGAACCATTCCAGCTTGGTCAGGAAGGAGCGGAGCATCTCTCCGACCGTCATTACGCACCCTCCTCCAGCCTTCACGTCCAACTCCTGATCACAAAAAACAATGAGGAGCAAAACCATTAAAACTACAATCACAAACACGAAGAACACACTCAGACATGCACTTATCACACGACCTCTGGTATACAGGTTAACGCTAATAATTAGACTTTACACTGTCCTGAATGAAATGCTTCATTTGTGATGACCAAATACTGAGTCTTCACCTCGGCTCTCACCTGACTTAATTTTCAGTATTTACAGGTGCACCAAGTAATTTTGTGGTTTGTTCCACTACCCGTCATCTTGGACTTTATTGTAACAAATAATCAGCATGTATACAAAAGGAATACCATCATTTAAATACCTTGATCACTAGCTAAAAAAATGTGCTATTTCATAATGGACCTTTAGTGCACCTTTAACATAAGTGGAAATCTTACGAGACTTACATTTTCTGTCTTTCTATTTTACTTTTTATAGAAAATAGTTTATTATATTGATTTTCAATAGATCAAAACTGCATGACTGAGCTTCAAAATAATTAGCTTCCACAATGTCTCTTACTATGCAATGACTCAAAATAGGTGCGATGCAGAGGAGGTCGACCTGAGAAGGAAGTCAGATGATTAGAGGAAAAATACAACTCAATCCCAAGCTAACCTTCTTTCAAACCTAGATTCTACATCTTACTGTTAATACGCTACTTAAAGCTAATACTTTAAAATTATAAATAGTGGGAAAAGAGTTCACAATCTTTTGCATTTTGTTAAATTATTTTGCAACAGTAATAATAGAAAGATACTATATTTTCCGTAGTAATAAAGGGACCTTCATACAAAAGACGATAACTTTAATTTAGTCGTTGTAATTCTATGAGAATAGGGAAGTTCACACCACAACTATAATGACAAAATGATATCGTTGGAATCACTCTCAGAACGATTATTTGTGACCCTGGACCACAAAACCAGCCATAAGTCACAAAAAAAACCCGTGCTACGTTTACTGCATTAAGCTAACAGACTTGTTATAGCACTTGCATATCATAGCTCTTTTGTTGATTTTGATTGCGTCCATTGTCCTCATTTGTAAGTCGCTTTGGATAAAAGCGTCTGCTAAATGTAAATGTAAGTTGCATGGGTATATTTGTAGCAATAGCCAACAATACATTGTATGGGTAAAATTATAGATTTTTCTTTTATGCCAAAAATCATCAGGATATCAAGTAAAGATAATGCTCCATTAACATTTTTTAAAATATTTTTTCTTACCGTAAATATCAAAACTTAATTTTTGATTAGTAAATATGCATAGCTAAGAACTTCATTTGGACAACTTTAAAGGTGATTTTCTCAATATTTAGAATTTTTTATTTTTTTTGCACGCTCGGATTCCAGATTTTCAAATAGTTCATCTCCCCAAATGTTGTCCTAACCTAACAAACCACACATCAACGGAAAGCTTATTGATCAGCTTTCAGATGATATATAAATCTCAATAAAATAAAAAATAAAAAAAGAGACCCTTATGACGGGTTTTGTGGTCCAGGGTCACATTTCTCCAGCTTTTGAACGACAAAATACACTGAATGTACGGTCATTCTGTCTATAGTATACAAAACACTTTGCGTGTGCTAATAAATCTTACTGGTTTGGACCAACGAGTGGGTGAGTTCATAATGACACAAATATAATTTCTGAGGTAACGTTAACTAACTATTCATATAACGTTAGGCATATTTTGAACTAAAGCTAGTTAGCACAATTAGCCTCCATGGACTAACACGGCCTAGTTCAGCTCACGTAATACTACATTTAAAACAAAAGACACTTATTTAAAAACTATTTAAGCTTAACAGGAAAAATAACAACCAATGAGCAATACTCGAATCGACAATGTAACACAAATAAGAAAACCGCGGGCTTCACGCTCGTCGGCCCGGGTTCATTTCGCCACCTTGAAGTATATCTCGTCCACCACCTCGTGGTACGTCTTGAGCTCGTACAGCTGCACCTTGAAGTATGGCGACGACAGGACGTTTGTCAGGATCATGGGGTTGAGGTTCATCGTCTTCTCGTTGCCCCATAACGGCAAGACGTTACCATGTTTCCCGCCGGCCGGTTTGCTCACGGCCTGCTGCTGCTGTTGTTGCTGCTGACTAACCGCCATGGCAGTTCCTTCACAACGCCATTAAACTACTAAACGAAAGGAAACGACCGTTGCCTCTAAAGAATATGGCGGCAACGCGTTCAACGAGGTGCGCGAGTGGCGGACCGACGACTCTTAATTCATTCGAATTTGATTTTGGATCGTATTCTCTGCGATTAGAAGACGCACGCGAAGCGTTCAGTTAACGACGTTACGCCGAGTTGTGGGGACAAGATGGCGCACGGAAGAGGGGCGGCGGAAAGGGACGCAAGGCTGGGGTTGTTCTCCTTCTTTGGTGTTTTATTGGTGGTTGGCAAACCAACTAATAGGTGCATTACCGCCACCGACTGGACTGGAGTGTGGATCAAGATTTATGCAATATGATGGGTGAACGGGTTGCCAAGTTGTTAAAGTAAAATACTTATATTCTCCCTAGAAAGAAGAAATGAGGGAAATGCTTTAGAAAGTGCGAGTACAAATCATCTGTTGTTTTTAAAATCATTAATAAAATATCGATGTATTTCTGTGTGAAAATAAAAACAGTGCGGTTCGTCTACAGGTGGAAAAAAGTGAATCGGTAACTGCATTGCTTAAGTGTTTTACGCAGGACTTGGCAACACGATCCTCCAGCGTGGTTTACAATAGCTTGTACCTGACTGCAGATGTCTTGCTGAGTCCATATAAATATTGTTGAAGGCGCTTATGTTTTTCCATGTGCTCTTGGTGTTGTGTGGCAGTAACGCTTCAAATTTACTTTAAGGCCCAGGCTGCATGTTTTTAAGATGTGTTTATTATGATTATGGGACATGTACAGTATACTAGCTTAATATAATAAATAATATAGATGTAAACTGTGCATCACCAGCTCAATTATAACAACATTTATTTCAGATGTGCAAAGACAACTACCCAGCATTTACAAACCCCTTTAAAAAAAAACACAACATTAAATAGATCCTAAATAGGTCTTCTACGTCTCTCCTTAGCTGAAAAGGAATGCCTGTAAAATGAATTTGGATTATGCCATTTTAACAAACAGTCCACTATTTGCAGCGTCCATCCCTGTGCAACTTGTGGTTGAGTCTTGTTTATGATGACAAAATGCTGACAGCACTAAACTGGGATGTTAGAAACGGACTCATTTGTGGGTCACTTTGACTGGGTGTTGAACCAACAGCCACCTACAGTACAGACCATCTTAGCTGTCAACTGTCATACTTATACAGTTTTCTTTTAAATCAAAACATCTGTAACATTTTAATTTGACCATTATGGATGGTCTCACAAAAAGACAGAAATATGATTAAGTTGACCACTTGAAATCATGAGTAAATTATTATACTTGAGTATTATTATTATTATTTTTTAAATTAGCAGCATCCAACCAAGGAAATATCAGACAATCCAAAGTGCATCAGTCTGTGTCAGTGGATTTAAAAAAGCTGATCTTTACATTAAAAATAGTCCTGAATCTGTAACACGTCTTTTCAGTTCCACCAGTGGTTCAAAGTGTTTTTTAAAGTGTCTGTGAGAACTATAACTATCTATTTTTGGTAAAAGAATACCAATCCAAGTATTTCCTGTTACTTTGATCTTAAGCAAAGCTTCTGTCGGTCTTCAGAGTTTTACCACTAGGGGGAGCAGTGATTCCACAAATTCCTAGAGCCCATGTGTCAGGACCCCAGAATAGAACTGCTACTTGTGATCGAAGACAACTGCTGTCCTCTCGTTTGACACAGGATATTACATCACCTTCCCCCACGGACGTTCAGTCTAGCGTTTTATAACCACCTGTTCAAAAGCTCCTGCACCAACCCTGAATGATGGAAAGAGAGAGACAAGGCATTATATTACATTACATTACAGAATTACATTACCACAGTCTGCAATTTTATGATATTGTCAGAGCTCATGTAACATTATATTTCTCTGTAATCTGCTTCTTATAATGCAAAACACAATGACCATGTATCACACAAGGACGGCATAAGGGATAATGCCAATTGCCGTGGCGACCTTGGGGCAGGGAAAGTTACATAATATATCTCACCTGGTGTGCTGAGAGCCCAGTGCAGTGCTGCCTCCTGGCCCAACAAACAGCCGCAGACCCTCCTCTGCAACACACATACATATTTATTTTAGACATCATTCAGTTGGTGCAAAGGCTTAAAGGGGGGGAAAAATAGTGCTGTCAAACGATTAATCGCATCCAAAATAAACGTTTTTGTTTGCATAATATATGTATGTGTGCTGTGTATATTTATTATGTATATATACAGTGGGGAAAAAAAGTATTTAGTCAGCCACCAATTGTGCAAGTTCTCCCACTTAAAAAGATGAGAGAGGCCTGTAATTTTCATCATATGTATACCTCAACTATGAGAGACAAAATGAGGAAAAAAAATCCAGAAAATCACATTGTAGGATTTTTAAAGAATTTATTTGCAAATTATGGTGGAAAATAAGTATTTGGTCAATAACAAAATTTCATCTCAATACTTTGTTATATACGCTTTGTTGGCAATGACAGAGGTCAAACTTTTTCTGTAAGTCTTCACAAGGTTTTCACACACTGTTGCTGGTATTTTGGCCCATTCCTCCATGCAGATCTCCTCTAGAGCAGTAATGTTTTGGGGCTGTCGCTGGGCAACATGGATTTTCAACTCCCTCCAAAGATTTTCTATGGGGTTGAGATCTGGAGACTGGCTAGGCCACTCCAGGACCTTGAAATGCTTCTTACGAAGCCACTCCTTCGTTTCCCGGGTGGTGTGTTTGGGATCATTGTCATGCTGAAAGACCCAGCCACGTTTCATCTTCAGTGCCCTTGCTGATGGAAGGAGGTTTTCACTCAAAATCTCATGATACATGGCCCCATTCATTCTTTCGTTTACACGGATCAGTCGTTCTGGTCCCTTTGCAGAAAAACAGCCCCAAAGCATGATGTTTCCACCCCCATGCTTCACAGTAGGTATGGTGTTCTTTGGATGCAACTCAGCATTCTTTCTCCTCAAGTTGAGTTTTTACCAAAAAGTTCTATTTTGGTTTCATCTGACCATATGACATTCTCCCAATCCTCTTCTGGATCATCCAAATGCTCTCTAGCAAACTTCAGACGGGTCTGGACATGTACTGGCTTAAGCAGGGGGACACGTCTGTCACTGCAGGATTTGAGTCCCTGGCGGTGCAGTGTGTTACTGATGGTAGCCTTTGTTACTTTGGTCCCAGCTCTCTGCAGGTCATTCACTAGGTCCCCCGTGTGGTTCTGGGATTTTTGCTCACAGTTCTTGTGATCATTTTGACCCCACGGGGTGAGATCTTGCGTGGAGCCCCAGATCGAGGGAGATTATCAGTGGTCTTGTGTGTCTTCCATTTTCTAATAATTGCTCCCACAGTTGATTTCTTCACACCAAGCTGCTTACCTATTGCATATTCAGTCTTCCCAGCCTGGTGCAGGTCTACAATTTTGTTTGTGGTGTCCTTTGACAGCTCTTTGGTCTTTGCCATGGTGGAGTTTTTGGAGTGTGACTGTTTGAGGTTGTGGACAGGTGTCTTTTATACTGATAATGAGTTCAAACAGATGCCATTAATACAGGTAACGAGTGGAGGACAGAGGAGGCTCTTAAAGAAGAAGTTACAGGTCTGTGAGGGCCAGAAATCTTGCTTGTTTGTAGGTGACCAAATACTTATTTTACCGAGGAATTTACCAATTAATTCTTTAAAAATCCTACAATGTGATTTTCTGGATTTTTTTTCTCATTTTGTCTCTCATAGTTGAGGTATACCTATGATGAAAATTACAGGCCTCTCTCATCTTTTTAAGTGGGAGAACTTGCACAATTGGTGGCTGACTAAATACTTTTTTGCCCCACTGTAAATACACATTCATGTGTATATTTCAGAAAGATATGTTGTGTTTATATATTAAATATACTTATAATATAAATGTTATGAATGATCAATATAGTGATATTGCGTTTATACAACAGCTCAACGGAACATGTGTGTAATTAAACTCTTTTGTGCGGAACTACTTCCTTCCGCCACGGATTCAAAGCTCAAGTTGACAGTTAAACATACGTCACTTTTAGAATTCGTATCAAGGGCATGTGCTGCTTCAGTTAGGTTATTAGTGAGAAATAATGATGTTATAAGAGAGAAACAATGCAGCAAGACGTGCATCCGAATGAGAGAGAGAGAGACCGCGAAGCTAGATGTTTCTTCTTATATTAAGTAACGTACTCTACGATTAGCTCAGTGAATAGTAAACAAAAAAACATAGACCTGGCTAGAACAAGCGGAGTGATACAAAATTGTGAAAAGACGTTCCTGTAGCGATACCAGTACAATATCTCACGGTTCTCAACCGATCAGATTTGAGAACCAGAACTGTTGTATAAATATAGACATGTAAATATTTTCAAAATATATACAGTATTTGTGTCTTTATATTATACACAGAACACTCACATATATTTTGCAAACAAAAACTTATATTTTGTATGCGATTAATCGCGATTAATTGTTTGACAGCACAAATATATATACTGTATGTATGTATGTATATATATATACAGTATATATATATATGCGATTAATCGCATCCAAAATAAGTTTGTTTACATAATATATGTGTGTTCTGTGAATATTTATTATGTATATATAAATACACACACATGCATGTATATATTTTGAAAATATTTATATGTACATATGTATATTCATATTAAATAAATTCATATTATTTATAAATATATAAATAACATTTTTCTTAAATATATACATGCATGTGTGTGTATTTATATATACACATAATAAATATATAAAGTACATACACATATATTCTGTAAACAAAAACTTGTATTTTGAATGTGATTAATCGCGATTAATCGTTTGACAGCACTAATATAAACCCTCATGTCAACTGGTGGATGATAAAAAGGCCAAAAACATCCCTAATGATACCATAATGATATACATATATAAGAAGTTCCTTATGCTTATCAAGTATTTGATCAATTTATTTGATCAAATACAAGCAATATTGTGAAATATTACAATTTAAAACAACCGTTTTCTATTTTAATATACTTTAAAATATGATTTATTTCTGTGATACAAAGCTGAATTTTCATCAGCCATTTCTCCAGTCTTCAGTGTCACATGATCCTTCAGAAATAAAAATAGAATTTTTGAATAAATAAACGCAGCCTTTATGAACATAAGACACTTATTTAGAAACATGAAAAATATTACTGATCCCAAACTTTTGAACAGCAGTGTATATTACATTAGTTAAACTAATAATGAATAGTAACGGCATACAGTAAAATGTTTTGTCAGGACACATTAAATGAATCAAAAACGACACTAACGACATTTATACTATTATATTTTGTTACGCAGCACAACTGTTTTCAACATTGATAATACGAAATGTTTCTTGACACAGCAAATCAGCATATTAGAATGATTTCTGAAAGATCATGTGACATGAAGACTGAAGTAATGATGCAAAAAAATTCAGCATTGCCATCACAGGAATAAATTACATTTTAAAATATGTTCTGATAGAAAAAAGCTATTTTAAATTGTAAAAATACTTCACTATTTTTACTGTATTTTTGCCATGGTGAGCATAAGAGACTTCTATCAAAAATATTTAAAAATCTTGTCAACCCCAAACTTTTGAACAATAGTGCATGTCTTCATAATGCATCCAGCGGTGCTATTTCAAGCAAGCAAATAAAATCCATTTTTACATGATATGGCTTTTTAACAGGATTTTAAACATCTGGACTGTAAATGCTGCATGCATCAAGGTGCTTTCTAATAGTACCTTCATTACTGGAGTCCAGTATGCTGCGGCTGAAGTCTTGGCCCTGTAGGATTGTCTCGATGATATCATCAGCATCCACTCTGGTAGCATCCACTCGCTTTAACTGAGACTCAACCGAGTCCTGTTTTACAGGGTGCCTGAAATACAAACATATACACAGACAAGACATACAAGACTTCACTAAAAGATTTTTCTACAAACACATTTTGCCGGAAGAGCTGATGCACACACCTGTTGGCTGTGATCCCACTATGGGACGGTGTGGCTAAGTGCTGGGGTAAAGGTGTGCAGGCCTGTGTGCGGGACTCTCTGTCCTCACTGGGCTCTGGTAGGCTGCCAATCCCAGTGGAGGCACTGCCCACAGACAAGTTCCTCCTATGAGAGAGCTCCGTCAGGCTGGAGGAGCGCGAATGACCCGTGCTGTAGCCTACAAGAATGTCCAGACTGATCAATATTATATATATATATATATGCACATATATAATGCAAAAAGTCATAGAATAAAAAAAAAAATACATATGGTGTGAATGAACAGACCGGAAAACTTGGACTGTTGGCTGGCATAACTGGCTGTTCTTGAGTGACCACACTTTCCCAGTTCATCTGGAACAGAACCATGACTGAAGCAACTTTTTCCTAGGTTTTCTAGAAAAAAGAAAAAAAAAATCAGTGGATTGTTATTGTTGCATATACAAAAATCACATAATATACTATTCTTAACTTAAACAGTAACTTAAATATTTTTTACAAAACTATATTTAAAGAAATGTATTTAAATATTTGATATATGAGCCTTAATATTTAGAGGGAAAAACACATTAACAATGTCTAATTCAGTGTTTAACAGAAGAAAGTCAGTCATACAGGTCTGAAAAAATAAGGTTAGGTAAATTATGACAGAACTGTATTTTTTGAGTGAATCATTCTTTTGATAAACTGAACCCAGCCAGGTCATGCAAACTATATAAAATATTTCTAGAGAAGGAATAATCTATAAACACAGATTTCAGGGGATATTAATCCATACAGTACTAATCTGGCGTTTCACTGGTTTAAGTGCCTCTAAAACTGACAGTGACATAAAACTATGACACAGCAGCCAGAGCTAAAAGCACTCGAGGCGCAGTATGAGCACTCCCACACACACACAAACACTTCTGCAGGACTCACAAACACACACTCATCGGGAAACACCACCAAACACTTTGATTTATGAGTGTGCATGACTATTTTTGACAACCATCCACAGTGAAGCAATGATACAACTCTCACTAGAGCACGATTCACATGTCTGTGACAACAGAAGTGAGACACACACACACACACACCTCTTCATGGAGGTTTATTTGTCACTCATTTCGGTTGCTAATCCACTGTCAGAACACTGTACGTGTTGTTTTAATGGGAGATTGTGTGCCAGCTTGCTTACATAACAGGAAGCACACCTTTCAGTGTTTCTGGGTGCTGTGTGAGATGATTAATATTACGCCCTCTAAATGTCAGAATAAATGTCAACTATTTCAACATGCATGCAAACACATCCACACAATTACTCCAATATACTAGAAATACTAGTGCATCTGAATACATAAAGAGAGAGGGCAGTGAAAAAAGAAAACACATTTACTTTTCTTCACAAAAATTCCTGTAAATAATTTTTAAAATGCTAATTATTTATCAGAAATTAAAAAAAAAAATTTGTACCAACAACCTTCCTATTTTCAGTGTTGAATAATGTAACATTTTTCATTATTGTGCTACTTATCATTCAGAAGACACCATTCCACTATGCTGATTTGCTGCTCAAGAAACATTTATTATTTTTAGTGTTAAAAACAAATGTGCTGCTTAATATTTTTAATATTAACTGTGATGCATCTTATTGAGGATTCTGTAGTCTTTACTGTCACTTCTGATCAACTGAATTGAATGAAAGTATAATTTCTTTTGAATATAAATCTTACTGCTTACTTTAGAATGGTTGAGTAAACATACCACCTCAACTAATAATCGGAGGTTTCAAGCTGCAGACACCTCTGTGTAAAAAAAAACAAAAAAACCACCTCTGTGTCTGACTGTCAACTCTGTTTAACTAAACATCACCAAGAAGTGGTTGAACCAGACTTCCTGTGTTCATGCAGTCCTAGACATTGGTGTCAGAAAAACACTGGCACAAGCACTCTGGCACAGCTGCATAGACACACAAACAAATACAAAGGCATCACGGCAGCTGCATGTGCTATTGTCGCACAGTTACAAGGTCATTCTGAGCTGCTGGGTTACTCAAGGTTGAGCCAGCTCAACCAGCGTGGTCTTTCTGTATCACTTGTTAAACTTAAATAAACTAGGCCCATGCTGAAGACCAGCATCCAAAACATATGCTGGTCTTTTCAGAAGGATGCAGATTTTAGATTTGAATATGAAATTCAAACTTTTCCAAATCTATTAAAAATTAAGGGACAACTTACTTTTTAAAGCAAGGATCACCTGACATTAGCTGCATACTGATTATCACCTAGAGAAAGAGAGAGAGGTGGTGAGTGGTTACATAAACATACAGTATGAGATATAGCAGACTGGATATTTAATTAATACCCCTAAAAACATGAAATACATCAGATACTGGAGAATTGTGTGGTAAATTGTATTTTGCTGAAGGATATAATCAAGGCTTTAAAAATTTGATTGACTGAGCCACTGTAAGATTTGAGGCTACTGTAATAACAGCCCATAAATGCACAATATACACATAAATTAATCAATTAACATAAATATATTGTATAAGGTTGACACTGTTTTCTACAATTTTATGACATATACACATTATTTTGTTTAAAGTTATTATTTCAAGTGTCTCATAAAGCAGGACTAATTTTTTATTTGTTGTTTACTTCTTTTTTTGAACTTAAAATATTATTTAAAAATGAAAAAAGTTGGATTAATATTTTGAACATATCATACTGAATATATTAATATTGTGAAATAATAATGATGATGATTATTATCATTAATATTACATATGATGTGAGTACCATTGTTGAGTGTTTTTGGTGCCATTTATCAGCAAACATAATATTAAATAATCTAAAAAGTTTACTTAAACTACTATGTTTAACAGTCTCAAAAAGAAGAACCAATTTTTAATTATTGTCACTTCTGATTTAAAAACTTAAAATATAGTTTTAAAAATAAAAATACAGCAAAATATGCATTTTATTATTATTAATATTATTAATAATAATGTCATTAACAATGCTTTTTTCATAATATTTATTTACTATTAATAATAATAATATTCTTAAAAAATAATAAATAATAATAATCGCTTTACTTGTGATAACCATTGTTGGGTGTTATTTTTTTAAGGGAAATAGAAAAGTGTGACTATTGCACACACACACACACACACAAAAAGTCCCGTTTATTGTGTAAAATAACTGTAATGCATCACATGACTTGTTTCTATAATAAACTTACAAATATGGCATCACACGTGGGTCCAAATGTTAATGGACTGCAGTGATGCCAGCTAAAATGGTCTGGTCACGTGTGTGTCTCTACAGCTATAAATGTGCAGGCCTGTGGAATTTTGGGTGCTCTGCGATCAGCTCCAGGCGGAGGTGGAAGGATACAGGCCTGTGGAATTCTGGGGGCGTAGATGGAACCTCGCTTCAGGAGACGGGCTGATGGCAGCCTGAATCTGACTGATACAGTGGAAGCGACAAAGGTGAAGGAAGGCAACAAAGCAAAGTCATACACAAGACCCCTGTCCCCGGAGAAAGTGCTGGACAAAGCCAAGAAAAGCTTAAGTCAGCACCACGGAGATCTGTCTAACAGAAAGCACCTGTTGGGTTTCTTTGAAATCCAGTTTGGTGTATTTCGCGGGCAAACATTTAGGTGGGTGGCTGAAAATGCCCTGGGGTATGCTGCTTACCTGGTGGCAGCTATGAAGAGGGACCCCACAGGAGGCAGCAAAGACTCCCAAGAACATGCCCACAACAAGGGGAGTTTCAGGGAGTATTTTGAGCTCTTTCCTTCTGGCAGAATTGCCATTGCCATGAAGGAAGAGCAATATGCTGGGAAAGCTCCCCAGCATGCTGCTGACTTCCAGCACGCTGCCCCCACAGAGTTCACTGCCCCCACCCAGCTCACTCCCCCCACCCAGCACGCTACCACCACCCATACTTCCACTGCCTCTCTCCGCTCCCTCTTGGTTAGGAAGTTGCCTAACCAGAAAAACCTGACCAAGACTGTAGAAAGGCTGATTTCCCCCCTCAAAGTCGCACCTTGTAAGCAAACATTTATTTGTATAACACTTTTTTGGTTTGTTTAGTATTTATTGCTGTTCAGTAGTCATGTTTATCAGTTTGTCCTGTGTTTTTTTGTAGCTTTGGCCCAGGCACGTGCGCGGCCCTCAGCCACCCTCACCCACCCGACTGTGTCCATTGAGACAGCCACAGGGCCTTCAGTCACCCTCACCTGTCCGACTGTGCCCATTGAGGCAGCCACAGGGCCCTCAGCCACCCTCACCCACCCCTCTGTGTCCACTGAGATAGATGACAGCACACTGCTGGCAGAGGCAGCTAAGTTTGAGGAGGCATATGTGGCATGTACGTTTATACTTATTTAAAGTATTCAAAGTTTCCTTTCCAGGGATAATAAAGTAAAGTGAAGCAATGTGAATTTGCATTTGTTTATTTATGTGTTTATTTTCTGTTTTTCTTTTTCTTTTCTTTTTCAGCACGACGAGTCTGTCTTCCGGCTGGATGGACACACACCCTGCCTGAAGTGGACCAGAGGTGGATCGCCAAGGCCCTGTTTAGGTGGACAGCACAGGGGCATCCTGAGCTGGTCTTTAGTAGGGTGGACAAACTTTGGTGGTATCCTCCACAGGTGCCGCTGAAGACCAGTAATTCTCCTTCCTTGGAGAATTACTTTGGCCATCGCCTGCTGCTCTGGATGCCACGACATACAGATAACAATTAAGAAAAATACACAATACAAATACAGTTTAAAACATTATATACAATGCTGCGTGGAGTATAAGGAAAAGAGTATACAAGATATGTAAATGGCGTTATATCACCTCATTGTTAGCAAACACACTGCTTTATTATAGAGGATTTACTGTTGTGCATTGATTCAGTTTAACTTGAAACGTTATTGATTGCTAAATCAACTTTCTGTTTGCGTGAGCAACCTAACAGTCCACCAGAGGGAGGCAAATCATCACGAAAACATAGACTACCCTGCAAAACTATTTTAAAATAAAGAATAAGAAATTATATCAGTAAGTGGGCGATTTTAATTTTAAATAACGGATTGATTTGACAGAAATATTAGCAGCATTTAGTACAGTGTGGGTCAATATTAAAACACTAACAGTAAACCGATGGCGTCGGAGAAGAGAGCACACGTAAAAACGACAAAGACTTGGTTGCAGCTGCTTTTAAAAACTTTCATAACCAATCACAATCGGCCAAAAATAATTAGACATATTTATCAGCCAATCAGAAGCGTTGTTACCAGCGTTTACCTCCCCTTCTGCATCAGCCTCGTTGGCGCAGTTGGCAGCGCGTCAGTCTCATAATCTGAAGGTCGTGAGTTCGAGCCTCACACGGGGCAGGTTATGTTTTATCTCGAACGCAGAGTTACAGAATTGCTATGGATCATACTTTGAATATTTCACTGATGCAAATTGAATAGTTGAGGCAGATCTGCGACTGAAGTATGCTTTGCAAGTTGCAGTCTAACATTACAGTGGCAATTATGTACAGTAATATAATATGCAATCATGCCAATAAAGTAAGCTACGAACAGTGTTGGGGAAAGTTACTTTTAAAAGTAATGCATTACAATATTGCATTACTCCATAAAAAAGTAACTAATTACGGTGCTTAGTTACTTTTTATGGAAAGTAATGCGTTACGTTACTTTTGCGTTACTTTTAAAATCTGCACAGGGCTTGCTTGTTTGTTTTTAAAATAAAAAAGTTCTATTTTTGGCAAATATAAAAGCCTCTTCACATCAAAAGTGAAATGAATAAGCCTCAGACTGAAGGGAAAGTACATTTACGTCCGTACAGTAGAATGCAGAAGTCATTTCAACACACTTCAGCAATAAAAAAAGATGAGTAATTTTTGCTTATTAGTACGGTTGAACTGGATCATCGAAGGTCAGAAGCAAAGACATTGGTGAATAGAATGGGATTACATACATAAAGGATATTTGTGTTGTTTAACATTTAATTATTGCAGGTTTGCGTCATATTCAGAGTTGCGTTATTTTTATTCATTTTGAGGAATACTGAATCTGTGTTTTTGTTTTTTGTGAGTGAGATGAATTAATGCATATTCATATTTGTTTTAGAACTACAATAACACCTTCTGATTTCTCTCATCACGGGGACGGAAGCTGTCAATCAATAAATTGGGGGAAAAAAGTAACTTGCGTTACTTATTTGAAAAAGTAACTCAGATATTCTCTTGTAAATTAAAAAGTAATGCGTTACTTTACTAGTTACTTGAAAAAAGTAATCTGATTACGTAACTCGCGTTACTTGTAATGAGTTACCCCCAACACTGGCTACGAATATATATATATATATATATATACACAATAAAAAATTTTTAAAGTTTTATTTGTAGACTTTTTCATATTATTTTGCAAGTAATAATATGTAAACTTTTTCCATTTATTTCTTTATTTAATCTAAACTATGAATCGTTGTCTTTGTCAATTAAGTACTTTATATGCTTTGCAAATAATGTAAATGCTTACTGTAGTGGATATAACACTTATAGTAGTGTCAGTAAAGCTTTGACTCTGACAGAGAGAGAGAGAGAGAGAGAGAGAGAGAGAGAGATTTCTGAATGATTCCACATGCTGAATGAATTCAGTGACACTCTCAGTGAACGGGACGCAGCGGCGCTTTTCTCTTCTCGGTTTGGGAAGGAAGGACTCACTACAGCCGGTGCAGCATGTGAAAGTCCGACACAGGCGACTTTCTCCTCTTTTCTTTTTACACATTTTGCAGCCAGTCTCTGATCATTAAGCAATTCCACCTCATTGCTTTCTTCACTGAAATGCCGTCATGCCCCGCGTGAATGTCAGCTGGATTATTACGGTGCTCGCGGTGGAGCTCGCGACACTGTCCGCCGCGCACGCTCACAGCTGTCACGAGGTGAAAACGGCGTTTCAGGTGCGTCAGATCGGCCAGCTCAAATGGGTGCCGGAAACACCTGCCATAGGTGAGTGTGAACGCCATGTGCAACCGTTTGTCATCTTGGTGAAGAGCGGTTTTTGTAAATGCAATGGTTGTTTGACTCACCAAAACTAAAATGTGTCTCCTTGAAGTTTAATATGGTTGTCCCTGCTTTGATATTTACTATGGTAAACGGAGATGCCTCCAAACTATAACTACACCTTTTTTTTTTCTTTTTTTTTTATAGTAAAATCATTGGTCCTTTATGGATCTTTTTATGTGTTTGCTTACTTTTATCATAGAGTTTTTGAAGCAACATTATCAATTAGGTGTTTTGCAGAAACAACTGTATGGTTATGGTTACTATGGAAAATCTTTCTATTGTGGTGCAACAACCAGGTGCTTTGGGTCCTAAATTGTTTCATAGTACGTTTTAACGATGAAAAGCAATATTTAAAGTAATAGTATAATCAAAAATACAAAAAAATGTACTCATCCTTAGACCGTCCAATATGTAGATGAGTTTGTTTCTTCATCTGAGCAGATTTGGAGAAATGTAGCATTATATCACTTGCTCACCAATTGATCCTCTGCAGTGAATGGGTGCCGTCAGAATGAGAGTCCAAACAGCTGATAAAAGCATCACAGTAATACACATCACTATTCCAGACCATTATATTCCTTCTTTAAGATGTTTTTAACTTCAAAACATTGCTTCATGTCTAAAATATGAGTCCTCTATCAATAATATTGCTTTCTTTTGAGCACAAAACATATTTCTTAAACAAGTGCCATTAAACCACATAGAAGAACTTTCAAGTTAACTATAGCTCAAAGGTTGTGTCTGAATCATTATTTTAGTGGCACTGCCCAGGGACTCATCCATTTCTAGTCCTGTCAGATTCGTTCCAGTGTTACTTTTGCATCCTAAAAATTCCCACAGTGCGCTGTTAAAAACCATCAGCTGCTCACTATGTTTACTTACTGGAGATATTGTCGTGTCTCTGCATGTTTGACACACTTTTAAAAGCTGAAATAAAGATTCATGATAAACAATCATTGGTTGCATACCATTATGCAGAGCATGATTGGATTGATTCCTAATTAGTACGTAGAATCAATATTTTCATAAGCCTACAATTGGAATTCAAGAGTATATTATTTATTTAGTTGTTCCTGTCAGGAAAATTTAATGTGATCATCTTCCATTTAGTAGGTTTTACAAGTTCATTGACTGATTTTTTTGCCCAACAAAGTTTGTGTGAATGCCCATGCATGCTGTAAGGCTTTGGACTCTGCACTGTAAATAATATGTCTTGGTAAACTTCAGACAAGGATCGTGTCAGGTTAAGGGAATCAGTGTTGACAGATGTATTCAGCCAGCTGCTTTGATGCATGACTCAGCGAACAGGAGTGAGTCCTCCTGGAATGACACCGGCCCAGCTCACGCGGGTCTAGAGTTCTCACAGTACTTGAACTCATACCCAGGTCCGGTTCTCCAATGACAGGGGTGTCCATCCTGCTCCTAGAGATCCACCTGCATAGTTTAGTAATCAAATACTAATCATACACACTTGAACCTGCTCATCGAGGTCTTTGGGGTCGCTTGGAAAGGTTACTGGGTCTAAAACACAAGCCAGCTACCTTGATATAGTCAGTCATTTGCTCTATCTATCTATCTATCTATCTATCTATCTATCTATCTATCTATCTATCTATCTATCGTTAGTTCTATCGTTAGTTCAATCATTCGTTCGTTCATTCTCACAGTCTGTAGGTCAGTTTATTTCTATAGCACATTTAAAAACAGCTAGTGTATACCAAAGTGCTGTACATATAAAAATAAAGTAAATATATAGAGATTAAGAGAATAAAAAGAAAAGACACACAAAAAAAACACAAATCATCAATACAAAAACACATTAAAATACACATATCTATCTATCTATCTATCTATCTATCTATCTATCTATCTATCTATCTATCTATCGTTAGTTCAATCATTCGTTCGTTCATTCTACCAAGGTCAAGGTCAGTTTATTTCTATAGCACATTTAAAAACAGCTAGTGTATACCAAAGTGCTGTACATATAAAAATAAAGTAAATATATAGAGATTAAGAGAATAAAAAGAAAAGACACACAAAAAAAACACAAATCATCAATACAAAAACACATTAAAATACACAAACATAAATTTTAACCAAAAGCCAAGGAGTACAGATAAGTCTTCAGGCGGGATTTAAAAACAGGATTTAATGTCCAGAGGTATGCTGTTCCATAGTCTAGGACTGGCTACAGAAAAAGCCTGATCCCCCTTAGATTTCAAGCAAGAGAAGATTTTAATTTGGCTATTTGCTTTAGTTGAAAGAAGCTGCTCTTTACCACAGCACTTATCTGTTTTTCAGAATTCAGATCAGTGTTAAAAAACACACCTAAGTTTTTAGCAAAAGGATGAATATTTGATGACAAAGAATCTAGATTAATAGTGATATCAGAGACAGCACCTAGGGGTGCAAAGACAACAATCTCAGTTTTGCTCTCATTTAATTGGAGAAAGTTTCTACTAGTCCAACATTTAATATCTTCAAAGCAATTTAAAAGGTCAGAATAAGAGTGATCAGAGCTAAGAGGAATATCGATCTGAGTATCGTCAGTATAACGATGGTATAAAATATTATATTTCCTCATGATCGAACCCAAGGGGAGCATATACAAACAAAATAAAATAGGCCCCAAGAGGGACCCCTGAGTTACCCCACAGATAAGCGGTGCAGAAGGAGAGGAAGAGTTTCCAATCATCACCTTAACTGATCTATCAGAGAGGTATGATGAGAACCAATCCAGTGCTGGGCCCCTAATCCCAACTTCATCCCTTAGACGTTTAAGAAAGGTTGCATGATCAACTGAATCAAATGCAGAGCTAAGATCAAGCATCATCAAAATAGCAGGTTTACCGAAGTCCACAGCAAGGAGTAGATTGTTCGACAACTTAAGCAGTGCAGACTCGGTGCTAGGGATGTAACGATTAGCCGCGAGCTGGTTGAAAATCGATTCAAATATGTGATGATTCAAAACGGTTGAGATGCTAAACAAATCGCGATTCATTTAGGTGTAGGAGTTTATATGAATGCATGTCTGAGGGGAACTTACTGTCTTTAGAAAAGTTTAGATGGTATTTTTCATGCAGATATTTTTATGTATAGTTTCACAAAACTGAAGTCAAACCATTCTGTTTTTGCTTCAAATTTCGAAATTATACAATCTAATTTAGATTAAAAACTGCTCATGTTGCATGTATGCAGCATCTTTGTTTGGATCAAGATTAAAATGCAGTGGTTGCCTCAAATTTTAAATGGAAAGAGCACAGACAAAGCCTTAGTTTGTTTATATGAAGAGAATTATTTTATTTGTGTTATTTATTTATTTGATTTGGGGCTTGTTTTAAAATTTCAATGTAGTTTTGTTATTTACATTTACATTATATTTAAATTTTGTCATTTAGCAGACGCTTTTGTCCAAAGCGACTTACAAATGAGGACAATAGAAGCAATCAAAACCAACAAAAGAGCAATAATTTACAAGTGCTATATTAGTATATTGTTATAGTGTTATATTTCAATTTCACAAAGAAATGTGCAGCATTTTGTCCAAGCAATAATAAAAGGACACATTTCATTTATAATTTGTCTTAAATCTCATTTTGTTAAAAAAAAATAAAAAATCGTAAATCGAATCGTGAAATCAAAATCGTGAATCGAATCGAATCGTGAGTTGAGTGAATCGTTACATCCCTACTCGGTGCTATGATGGAATTGACTGAAATTGATCTAAAATATTGTTTTGTGAGACAAATGAAGATAACAAGAATGGTAGCTTAGAAATGGGGCGAAAATATTTAAGATCGGTTATGTCTAAATTTGGCTTCTTAAGAAGAGGTGTGATCACTGCTTGTTTGGGGCATATAGGAACACGACCACTGTCTAAAAATCTGTTTATAATAGCCAATACACTAGGGCTGATTGTCTCCAGGACCTCTCTAAAGAGATGACATAACATCAACATAAGAAGTGGTAGGCTTAATCTTGTGAACTATATTGCCAAGCTCAGACAGGGATATTGGTTCAAACCATTCAAAAAAAGCATGGCAAGTAAGTGGTTCAGATGGGTCATGACTGCACATTCTAACAATAGGCCGTGTGGCGTCCACCTTTCCCATGAAAGAATGTAAGAATGCTGCACAGGTCTCTAGAGTACTGTCCAGACCAGAAGCGTTAGCAGGAGAGAAAATAGTATTTAAAGTATTAAACAGATTTTTGGGATTGTGTGAATTTTTTAAATATTAATTCAGAAAGATATTCAGTTTTTGCATTTTTTACAGAATGATGATGATATCATTCTATCTATCTATCTGATCGTTCTATCGTTAGTTCTATCATTAGTTCTATCAGTCGTTCTATCAATAGTTATATCGTTCGTTCTATCATTCTATTTATCTATTATTCTATCATGCTGTCTATCGGTCTGTCTTTATCATTTTGTCACTCTATACATTGTTCTATCTGTCACTTTGTCTACCTATCGATCAATTGTTCTATCATTTCATCTATTCATCATTCTATCATTCTGTCGGTCATTTTATGTTTATGTTCTATCATTGTTTATCATTTTATTGTTCTATAGCTTTCTATTGTTTTATCCCTCTATCTATCGTATCTTTGTCATTTATTGTTTTGTTGGATAATTTTATCGTTCTGTCCATTGTTTTATCTATCACTCTATCTATCGTTGGGTTCATCATTCTATCATTTTCATCTATTGTTTTGTCTTTTGTTCTGTCATTTTATCTATTGTTTTAACTATCGTCTGTTGCTCTATCGCTTTGTCCATTTTAAGACGACTTCAACTTTTTTCCTCAACTTTCAAGGGCCTGTTTACACTTGGTCATTTCATGCGTTTTTGCTGATCGGATATCTATCTGATTTGTTCAAACGTTTCCATTTACACTTGACCACATAAATGTGTCGTCGCAAAAGTGATATAAATC